CCCCTGCTCTCTCCCCCCCACCCCCCTCTCCCGTTCCCCATCCGTCTTCTAACTTTCACTTCCAGTGTCCAAAGCTTTCTGAAGCACTTTGGAAGCTCTGAACCGCTTCAGACAGCTTGAACGAGCCAGTGCTTTGCTCCGGCCATGCTGCTTCAGACACCAAAGCATCCGAAGCAGCCCCGGATCCAAAGCACGATCTGAAGCCTCGCACAGCCCTAGAGATTATACAATTTCTCTAGATAATCTGTTTCAAAGCATAACCCTCACAGTTGGAAAGTTCTTCCTAATATCCAACCTACATTTCCTTTGTTCCTATCAAGTTTTGACCTGTTGGCCACAGGGAATAGCCCATCACCACCCTCTTTATAACCACCTTTCTGGTATTTGAGGTCTGTAATGAAATCCGCTTTCAGTCTTCTCTTCTCCGGGCTAAATACTTCCAGTTCTTCCAATTCGTGTTTTCCAATCCTCTAATCATTTTAGTCAGTGTCTGCTCCACTTATTCCAATTTGTCTTTGTTTTTCTTAAAGTGTGGCATCCAGAACTGGATGCAATATTCCAGCTTAGGCACCACCAGTGCTGAATAGTGGAAGGACCACTTCCCATGACTTGCAGATGATATTCCTGTTAATACAGTCCAGTATGCCATTGCCTTTTTTTTTTTTGCAATAGCACACCAGTGACTTATATTCAGCTATATTCAGTGTTGCAGCTTAGCCACCTAGCCAGTCATACTCCACCTTGTATTTGTGCATGTAATTGTGCCATCCTAAGTGAAGTACTTTGCACTTCCATAATTGAATGTCATCCAGTTAAGACTGTTTTCCTTATTATTATCAAAGTGTTTTTAAATCCTAATCCTCCCTTCCAAAGTATCTTCTAGTGTCATCTAGAAACGTACTAAGTGTGTACACAATCCTATCCTCCAAGTCATTAACCAAGATAAAGATTCCTGGGGAATCCTATTTGAAATGTCTTCCCTTTTTGACATTGAGTCATTGATGACTACTATTTGAGCATGTTGACCCAACCAGTTGTGCACCCCACTTATAGCTGGTTCATTTAGACTACATTTACTTTGCTTACTCATGAGAAAGGCATGGGACACAGCATCAGAAACCTTTCTAAAATTGAGGAATATCACATCCACTGCCTGTCATGTTGTTGTATAAAGAAATCAGATTGGTCAAGCGTGACTTGCTTTTGACAGACATGGTGCCTGTTCCCGATTACTTTGTTATCATCCAGCTGCATAGAGATTGATGCCTTGATGGTACGCTTCAAAATCTTTCCATGTGTCAGTATTAACAGACAGAAGACACATACACCTTCAGCAGTTCAGCTGACCCTAGGCAACCAGAGACTGACAGTTGGACCAATTCAACATCACTCTGGGTAGGCTCGGACAGGAAATATATCTCATCTTCCTTGACCAGAACAGTAATTGGATGCAATATATTGCTTGGTATCACTGATAAGGAATGGAAAGTAGGTGGCTAATGAAGAATTGTCGGAAAGATTACTCTGAGACATACATGATGACTGAAAGACAAATGGAGGGTGGTGCAGAACCTGGGATTAAGAGTCCTAGATGAGTGTCTGCAGCAGAAGCAGGGACAGCAGAAGAGGCTCCTCCAAAAATTTCCAGCACCTGCTACTTCTGTACAGTAAAGAATGACTTAGGAAAAATGTACTCTCACACCACAAAGCCAAAAAGGTGCTACATTATGCATCAGGAGAGAGAAGGGATGGCATAAGGGGTAGGACAGATGGACCGTAAGCAGAGAAGATCACTAGCTGGAAAATCAGGAATCTATCCCTTAGAGGATCTCGTTGCTTTAAAGCATTAGGAAACTAGAGTTTTAAAAGTACTTCTTGCTTTTTCTTGTCCATGGAACCAAAATATAATACTGACATACCTATTTCTTTGCAGTGAAAAGCCCACAAAGGAACCAGACGTGCTACGTGTGTAATTACACAGAAAACTTATGCAACACCAGCAAAGAGCTCTTGGTGTATTGCACCTTTCAAAACCGCATCAACGGAAGCGTTCGAAGTCCTGACATGAAACTACATTTGATCCCTGGTAAGATGAAATCTTAGCAATGATATGGAGCGTTTGAATGTAAAATATTCATGTGTTTGTTAAATCAGAGGCCCTGTAAGGTAGCACTGAGGCTACCTATATCACCAGCGTGGGCTTTAGTTACAGTTGACTGGGAATTTTCTCTCAGGTTTTTATGTTGGGGTTTTTTCTTCTTTTTTTGATGGACAATGTGGATTCCACAAGAAAACTCTAATTATGCTGAATGTTTCAGAATTAAAGCAAAGTGCTTTGCTTCTAACTCAGTTCAGGATGCAACTCTATTTCCACTTGAGCTGCCACAATGTCTTCTGGGAGATGTAGTCTGGGGGCCTCACTCCCCCTTCTTCCTTTTGGGCTTGATTCCCCATCAAGGTTACATCTCTCAGGATGCAGCATAGTCAAAGGGCGCCCATATTGCACTGCAGCAGTTCAGCTTCTACAAGATTTAGGGAGAGGTTGTGGTGCATCCTGAGAAGTGTCTGCCCAGGGAGTCCAGCATCTAAGAAGAAACAAGGACTTAGTGCACTCCAGCGACAGCTTGCACTGGGTCCCAAAGCAGCTCATGCGAACACAGATACACATCAGCTGGAAATTAGAGTTGACAAATATGACTGAATTGCAACTCCTACAGAAGTTTTTGTTCCATGAAAGTTTTGCTATTTCAACTTCCCATTGTGATTTGGGAGAGGGAAAATGTCAAAGTGTTGAACTTCCCCGGGAACAAAAATTCTGCATTGTCAGCAGCATCACTATGGTGCCAAGCTCTCGGACAGTGCGCGGCAGTAAAGTATTCATACTGATCGGGTAGGGATGGGAGGGAGGAACTACTGCACAAACAAACTACTGCAACTCCTAGAACAGTCATGGTCTTTCTACTCGTGAAGATCAGCCCCTGAGTTGGGGGGATAAAACTAAAACATGTCAGAGGTGGTCTAACCTGCCACGATAAATCAAAATCTACCACCAAAAAAAAATGTGCATGTGTATTTGCTCACGCAACTGACCTAGTGAATGGCAGTTTTTCATAACGTTTCGTAACGTGTGTGTATGCAATGCATAACATGTACAAGCACCCCTGGTACTCCAAGCAGGAATCAGAGACATCCTGTTCTCAGATCGCTTCAGATTGTAGGAGAAATGAGCCTCCTTTAATGGATGATGCCTGCATTAGAAAAGCAGTA